GGAAAGAGATAATTTGGAAGAAGTAATTGTAGATGGAGTATAATATTAAAATAGATATTGGTGCAGTGGATTGGAGGGTGTTGACTGGATTTGTGTGTGTTATGATAGGGGCCGTTGGGCTTCGGTAATGAACAACGAGTAACATTATCGTCTTGTCGGCAGGAAGTTATTTCTTAGCTGCTCGGCCATGAGATCACAGCCTGAAGGAACAGGTCAGTGAGTGAACTGGTGTATCACATTTTCCAGGTTTGGTGTCCCCTGGCCACGTCTCTATCCCCTCCAGCAGCTGTCGACTTTCACCAGCCAATGGCGAGTCTCGTGTTGTCTTCAGACGTTGGTATTATACGTGCTTAGGCTGACAGAAAGTGGGTCGTACCCATAGAGTGAGGTTATAGTGAAGGTTTGTGTGTGATTCATGGAGTCGAGAACAAACGAGAGGCGATCCGCGCAACAGAGCAGTCATGACTACGGTAAGAAAGTCAGCCAGTCTGTAATTTGAATTTGAAGAAATGTACGGTAATATGAAGTCCAGTTTTGAAATTAATGAGTAACTTAGGTTGAATATCTGTTTTTTATGGTGACGGAAATGCATTTGACGTAACATTGTTCTTTAATTTGTTTCTTACTGTTGTTTTCCGAAGAAAAAAAATGTTTCATCTAAAAGTTTGTTTTCAGCGAATGTGTTTAAATTTTCATCAGGTCGTTAGTGCTTTCTCTCTCTTTTTTTTTTAAAAAAAAGATGGATTTTGTTAACATATTTTAGTGAAATTACCCCCATTCTCAAATTTAATTAAAATGCTTCTTTTCGGTTTTCAAATTAAAACACGCGAATTGACGGATTGTCGTTCAATTTGTTGCGCTTGGAGCTGCAGAAAGATTGTAATTGTGTAAAATACGTAATGCGCCAGGCGAATGTCAGCTACTGACCCCCCGCACTTCATCAAACGTTACAGCCTCCCCTTCCCCCAGAGGTGTGGCCAATGGTAGTCGCCGGAATGTTTCTCCAAGGTCGACGATATTGGTATTTCTGAAGGACGCCGAGCCCCGTCGGCTTAGAGCACCCGTTAGATCCAGACACAATTCCATTTATCCACTTACTCGAAACTGTCGTGAAATTTTTGACAGCGATGTCGTATTTATGAAACAGCACACTTGGTATTTGTTGACTGGTTTAAAAGCAAGTCATCTGTTATGGTTGTCCCTTCAAAGCCCAATGGTAAATATATGTACCCCCTGGTTTAAGTCTACATTATCTCCACAGTGTGTTTATTTCTCACAATAAACAGCCATTATTTCGTAAAACAGCGTTAACCAGTCGATCTTTGTAATGGTGAAGAGTTGTGTTTTCTTCGCGGTACGGTCTGGATTCGTAAATATTATGAAGACGAGCTTCGGCTTCAAAGGGTTAACCAGTTGATCTTTGTAATGGTGAAGTGTTGTGTTTTCTTCGCGGTACGGACTGAATCTTTATTATGTAGATGAGCCTCGAATCGAATGCAGTAAGACGCTGTACAACTCCTCTCCTGGCTCCACTTCCAAGTGTCCTACCTTTTGAATGTACCGTTAACAGAAGAACGAAGGGGCGCCAACTGGGAACGTTCATAGACGAAAATTTATTTATATTTTTCCCCTTGAACGTAGTTTCTCTCTCTTATTCATTTGCTTGTTTCTTAGCGTATTTTGTGATGCAGTATCAACTCTTGAATTATTTAAGGTAGGACGCTTATGAATAATGACGTCAGAACCTCAAATTTCTGAATTAAATTTGAGTCGGAAGAAGGCACGGGGAAGGAATTATCCGGTATTTCCAAGGGAACGGAGACAAAAGAACCTCAGGTTGGTTGATCCATGCCCGGATTCGTACGGAGGGTCGTTCTCGTTCTGCTACCCCGTTCGATTCTTGTATAAAGTTACATTCTAACGTTACGGGCCTGCAACGGTATTTCGATAATGTTGGCTGAACTGCACATACAGAGGCAGGCAGGGAATCCCACTCGTCTACCCACACTTTGTGGTGACCTACCCCTTATTAGGTTGGGATGAGCATTTCCGCCTTAATCCATCACAACAGACTGAAAGTTGTTATTAAGAGGCGTGTAGTGTGGGTTGCCTGCTTCAGTGTTACTGAGTTGGTTATCACGTTGGTATTTTACTTTTTACACAAAATATTATACTGTACGAGCCTGGACAAAATACATGATGCGATTTTGAATATTTTAGTTGCCTTGTATAATTTATCTATGTTCTCCGAAGTCTTTGTGATATAATAAGATATCGCAGTATGATGAAAACCAGTCACCTGAAGACAGAAGTAGAGCCAGCTTCCGAAACGTCCTTTTCAATATATCACAATAGCCACTGTACAGATACTTATTAGTATAATCTGTAGACAATTTGGACTTTTGAGTTAAATTACACGTGAATGAAGAGTATACACAGGCCAAAATATATTTTACACAATTTTTAATTATTTGAGTACATCGAAAAACATTTCTCAAAGGTTCTAGGCACTAATGAGATATATCTAATATTTTATGTTGTCCACGAAACATTTCCATTTATAAAATGCTCTGCGCTTGTCCAGTTTTCCTTCCCCTCACCCTCCAACCGAAACCTGACTTAGAAATCAGACTGCAATTACTAAATAAGAACACGTCTCAAACAGTGCGACAGCAATCACTTAACGGGAAAAAGTAACACGTCAAGGCCGATCTAACGGAATCAGAGTTAAGAAATCTTCGCCACAATTACGTAAATATATTTCAAGTTAACTTGTCTGTTACATAATATTTTATATTATTAACCCTTTGAAGCCCGAAGTTCGTGTAAATATTATTTAAGAATTCAGTCCGTACCGCGAAGAAAACACAGCTCTTCACCATTACAAAGCTCAACGGGTTAATCCTGTTTAAGGAAATTATCGCAATTTACGAAACCCATATTTAGCTACTGCACTAAGCCCGGAAGGAGAAAAGTGGAATTTCTGTGGGTGCGCAGGACACACGATTCGCGTGTCCAGTCACCTGTTACCACTGGGACGAGTGAAAGTCTCACTCCACATTTCGGCTGTGGAAACTCGCCTCGAGAATGCAGTGTGAGAATTTCGACAATAGAAGCAAAGCTTCGACAAAGGAACAGTCATTACCGGAACATCTGCCTTGTTTTTTTCTCATTTTCTCCCGTTACTCTAGCATCCGATACTTCCTCGAACAGTAAAGTTGCCTTTGAGGGCGTATGGGGGGCGTGGAATATTGCTTCACACTTTTAGACCTCGACACTATTAACCCCGTTTGGAATGAAGATCCGACCTGGACGTGGCGGATAACAGAAGACGTTTGCTTGTTCCCGAAATCGAATCCCACCACTAATTAGCGCAGAAGACGAAAGAGGTGTAGAGGAGAGAAAATGAAATGAGTGTGCCATCTGTCCGGCCTTCATCTTGAAATGTTTTAAGATGTCGGATGACTTGTCCTTAACGATCAGCGTGGCACTCATCCTAAAAGGGCAAGTCAGCTTTTTAAAGGCGTCGCGTGTGACTCAGGATGGGCTCAGTGCGGCCAACGTTGAAGCGCGAAGGTGGTGTTGGTGGGTGAAATTTTAATTCCATACGATGATCCTGAAAAAAAAAAACGCAAAAATATTTATGGAAAGCGTGGAATGTTATAGTTCGGGTTTTTTTTATATGAAGACCAAACTCAGTGGTATTCTGGGTTGTTATACTATATTTTAGAAGTTTGCCAAACATTTCGGAGGAGCATGCTGGTTCCATCTTCAACCGTGAATGGGACTGCAAGGTAAGATCACATTCTGAGCCACAGCTTCGAGCTGCTACTACTTCACCCGATTTCGGACTTCGCGTGAAGTCGTTTGTCTGCGAGGAAATGTCTCGTTGTGTTTCAGATGATGTTGGTACTACTGCTGGCCCCCCTAATGCAGGCGGGCTACGTGCCCCCAGGACCCCTCTACAGGTGTCCCGTGAAGCCCTTATTGCTGTTTCCCTGTGAATGCGAGGCCGGGGGTGACAGCGGACTGATAATTCGCTGTGAGAACTCCAATTTGGCGTCTCTGTCAGTTGGGGTCACAAATTTGGCAGCATTTGACACTCCGGTGGAACTCCTCACGTTCTCGAAGTGCCACATCAGTTAGTAAACTCCTACATATTCCTCGCTCCCTCTTTGTGTGTTCAACTCAGGCCACGGCCGGACTTTATCATTGGATTCTCGTGGTCATTTTGGCATCGTCTTTCAAGGATTTAACTTGAGTGGGTTTTTAAAATCTCGGTCTGGATCGCATTTCTTCAAATGCAACGATACAACTACGCGAGTGTTTTTTTGGCTGTGTACTAAATGGAATCCCCCCGCGGTACGTGTAAGGGTCTCCCGAACACACGAGGAGGCGTTTGCTTTCCGTTGTACATCTGAACTGATGTTTGGCTTGCAAAATAATAGTCTTCGTCATGTCCATAGGGCGTCTGTACGGTAGCATGTTGTACCCGCTTCGGGTACGAGTTCTGCGGATAGAGGACACGCCCCTGCAGCACATCGAAGAATATAGTTTCTTGGGTGTGAACAGAACTCTTCAGGAACTCCACATTGTGCGCTCTGAGCTCCAGGAGTTTCCCACTTTGGCATTTCAGGCACGTTCCAAAACAAAACAAAAACGTGATCAAAGCATTGACGCTACGTAAAAGAAATTGATCGACCTGTCGTTTTATTCAGGTGCTGGGTAACGTGACGACGCTCAGAATCGACGGTCACCAATTCCGAACACTTGCCGGAGACGCTTTCAGTTCCGGGCTTCTACCTTCTCGTCTCGAGAGGCTGCATATCACTAATGGGTTGCTGTCCGAACTTCCTCCAGATGCCTTCCAGGCACTGCGTAAACTTAAGACGCTAGATCTCCATGGCAACGAACTGAAGGAGTTGCGTCGAAACCAGTTCAAGGGACTCCGGGACACGGAAGCCCTTGACCTCTCCCACAATAACCTGACGAAGGTCGACTCGTCACATCTGGCGGATCTTAACAAGATGTCCTGGTGTAACCTCTCGCACAACGCAATACCGGAGCTCACCAGGTAAGGGGGAGTATCTGCAGTCATTCTGTGAAGAATGAGAGTGAAAATCTACGTCTGCCTCTCGCCACTTCATGACGACTTTTGGCTGAATGAGGTAAATCTTCAGGCAGTCGGACCTCTGCTGCTCTAAGGGAAGTAAGACGTTGCCACGTGTTTCAGAGGGATGTTCGCGCGGAACACGGTGCTCCGCGTCCTTCACATGGACCATAACCGTTTGCGTCGTCTGGACACGAACTCGTTCCGTGGAATGAGATTCATTCGTCGGTTGTACTTCAGCGACAATCAGATCGCGGATGTCGGTAGAGGAACGTTTGGATCTGTGACGCGAGTCGGCACGGTTGATCTCGCGAGGAATTTCATCAAGAAGATCGACTTCCAGATGTTCCACCAGCTGCAGTACGTCGAGGTACCCCACTCTGTTCTCCTAGTCCTGCACGTCACATCTTACGTACCTTTGACTTTCGTGCTGAAAGTAATTTTTATACCCGCTGTGTTGCAGCTGATCGACGTATCCGAGAACCTGGTGACGGAGGTTCACAAACTCGCCTTCAAGGACCTGTACCTGGTGCGCATTAATCTCTCCCACAACGCAATCGAAAAGATCGAAGCCGGCGCTTTCGAGAACTGCGCCAACGTCACTTTCCTCGACCTCTCTCACAACAAGCTTCAGAACATCTCACGCACCGCTTTCGACGCCAACACGTACGCCACGGAGCTCGACGTTTCTTACAACCAACTGACGGATCTGTCACAGGTACGCGGACGTTTCCCCGTTCTCAGCCAATTTCCAGGTCGTGGTACGCAATCATCTTTGCTTACGACTTGGTTTTAAGATGTTAATGCTTTTTTCTTTTTTTCTTTTTCTTCCTTTTTCCTTTTCCTTTCTTTTCTCTTTTCTTTTTGTCTTTTTCTTTTTTCTTTTTCTTTCTTTCTTTCTTTCTTTTTCTTTTTCATTTCCTTTTTCTTTTCTTTTTGTTTTCTTTCTTTCTTTTCTTTCTTTTTTCTTTTCTTTTTGTCTTTTTCTTTCTTTCTTTTTTTTTTCTTTTTCATTTTCTTTCTTTTCCTTTTCCTTTTGTCTTTTTTCTTCCTTTTTCCTTTTCCTTTCTTTTCTCTTTTCTCTTTGTCTTTTTCCTTTCTTTTTTCCTTTTCCTTTTCCTTTTCTTTTTGTCTTTTTGTCTTTCTTTTCCTTTTCTTTCTTTTTCTTTTCTTTTTTGTCTTTTTCTTTCTTTTCCTTTTCTTTCTTTTTCTGTCTTTTTCCTTTTCTTTTCTTTTTTCATTCATTTTATTTCTTTTTTCTTTTCTCCCTTTTTTTACAATTCGCGTAAGTCTCTCCCAATGTTCATTACTACGACGCCCTACCTCACGATTTTGCGTTCCGATATCAGGTGTTGTTACTATATTTTGCTACAGAGCTACTCAAAATGTGCGCCGGCCTAACTAAAAGCGTCGCATTTAATTGCCACCAGGTGCCGCTGCACAACATGACGGGACTGAAGATTCTTAACGCCAGCCACAACGCGATAGAGAAAGTTCCCAGGAACACGTTCCCGAAACTGTACGAGCTTCACACGGTGGACCTGAGCTACAACAGGATCCGCGAAGTCTGGAACTCGGTGTTCCAGACCCTGTTCAGCCTGCGGTTCCTGAACATGAGCCACAACGCTCTGAACTCCGTCAAGGGCTCGACATTCGGAGCCCTTCACACTCTACTGGACCTGGATCTCAGCCACAACGAACTATCGGAAGTGAACAACGCCGCCCTGGCTCGGTGCGCCTCTCTCCGCGTCCTCACCCTGCGCAACAATTCACTAACGCAAATATTCCAACTTCCCATCTCTCTCGGCCACCTGGATCTCTCCAACAACTCCATTTCGCATATCCCGCCATTAGAGACGTGGCCCACTATGAACGCGTTGCTGTCCCTCGACCTGAGTCACAATGCGATCGGAGACTCCCTGGAGCGGGGTGCGTTCTTGAATCTACTGACACTCCAGAAGCTAAACCTGGAGGGAAATGGAATGACGAGAGTGCCTTGGGAAAGTATGAGCGAGTTGTCGACCCTTCAGTTTCTCTACATGCAGGTAAGACGATGTTACAGACGGTTCAACGCGTCTTTATAAATTTAATGATGGCCTCCAGAATTTTTGGAAGCCTGGTGTTCTTTGTCAAAGATCCTGCCATTTTCCTACTGACTGTCTACGTCCGATTGATTTGGAACGCGTATAAGACTCGCTCTTTTACAGCACAACTTATTGACGAAACTGGAACGCGGTGCATTCGGCCGGTTACCTGTGGTCTTCGAGCTGAATTTGGCCCACAACCTGTTGAACAACATCACGAGCAGAGCATTCGAGGGACTTCTGCAACTTCTTACGCTCAACCTCACGGCTAACAACCTTACGACCATCCCCAACGGAGCCTTCCAAGGTGAGACAAATACGAAATTGAGGTACAACTACCATATCTGGCTCTATGAAGGAAAATGAGTTTAATTTTGTGGTTTCAGTAAAATGCCGTGTTCTTGAAATGAAGATTTTTGAAACGACCTGCCTGATTTGTATTAAATTTGGAATGAGGGGCACGCTACAAAAGTTGTGTTAAATTTTGTGTGACGATGGTCGATTTTAACGTCAGCGAAACTTTCCGGAATGGATCATACAAAACCGTGGCATACGATGAAGATCGTATTAAGATATGTAACATTAATCTTAACAATTTTCTTTGATACCGTGTAGAAGAAAATTCGAGAACAAAATAATTTATGTTTTTTGGTAATACTTTTATGTGGCTCTTAGTTTCTAGCGAGATCTGGTCTATTAGCATTAGAATTATAGGCTGTGATAAGATCGATTATGGACAAAAAATCACAAGGACTATATACGGAAAATTGAATTATGTCCTTTCACATTTGTTGTCATAACCTCACTTTCTTTTACCTTGGACATGGCCAACTCTACTCTTAGAACAGAGAAGTGGTTTTGTAACTCGCCCGGATTATTGCTGAAGGGAATACAAAATGGCGTATGGAAGGAAATCAGAACATTTCACCCAGTTTTTTCGCTCCGCTACTCCAAGGCTAACATCTCGGTGGAATGCGAGGCCATCCATTCTCTTGCCTAATGTCAGATGTCAAGTGGACGTGCGCTTTAAAACTGTATCAGCCATTTTTATTTATTATTTGTCGTATTTCGTCGTATTATCAAATCACTCGATTGTTCTTCGTGACTTTCATTATTTCCCCAGATAAAGTTGGTACCATTGGAGATGTTGGCATGGCTGTATCTGTTCAGTGTCAACATGTTGCATCTCCAAAAATATTTAACCGATTTTATGTGAAACATTTAACAAAATACAGTGAAATATATTTTGCCTTTATTATAATTTATCAACGGCAGGAAACTGTATTGTTCTAGCCAGCGTAATATCTCTGCTGTCTACCAACTTTTTTTTTTGTACAGCCGATCTTTATCTGCAGCAGATTAAAATAAAAAATATGAATGAACGCTCGCCAGGAAGTATGTTTGACCACACATAAGTCTATTTCATAAGAATTACGATTATATTTATAGTTGGTTGTCGTGGGAATGCAAACTCAGAAAGGACGTGTCTGTCCTGTTTTTTTTTTACAGGTTTGGTATCGCTGCGTACGCTTGATCTGTCGCACAACCTGTTGGAGAAATTGGACAACAAGACGCACGGTCTTCTTGACGACTGCCTGTCATTAGAAAGAGTACGAAAAACATACTGCCATATCATAGCATGTTACACCCCGAGTCGGTTTAAGCCATTTAGAGGTTCATCTACATTCAGAGATTTTTTTTTTTTGTAATTAATATAAAAAAATTCATTTCTCAATTTCCAACTCTTATAAAAAAAATCTTTTTTCCCTTCTGGCGTCTGCATTCAGACTGGCTCTGGGGCCCACCCAGCCTCGTATCCAATGGGTACTGGGCTGACAACCCCCACCTAATGCCGAGGTTAACAATGAGTCGGAGCTATATGCTCTCCCCCCCCCAAGTGCCTGCATGGCGTATAGTGAGACACCTTTTGTAAAATTAACAAAGTATAGGGTATTTATTATTTTAAGCGTTAATTTCAAGAATGTGTGTCCTGCGATTTAAATTGTACGCTATCATGCCTTGCCTCTCGTATTTGTTGAATATTTAACACAATTAATGCTCTAAGTCTTTCATTATGAGTGTGTCTGTCCGTCAGGTGAATCTGAGCCACAACAAGATTTCATTTGTCACTCGTCAGACCTTCCCTAGCTCGCCCTGGGTTCCGTATAGGCTGCGAGAAGTTGATCTCAGCTACAACGCGATGCCGGTTCTGACGTACGACATCACGGTGGGTACCAGGCGTATGGAGGTGCTTAATGTAAGCCACAACATCCTCAACGAGATCCGCCACAGTGAGTACACGTTAAATAAGTTTCAATGCATCTGACTGAACTATAACGCGGTTTGACTTCGGGAACCAGCGGATATTTTTCCATCGAGTAGACAAGAAACAGCGGAGCGACTACAATTGAGCTGTCTTCTCCTACAGACGTTCTTGGCAACCTGACGTCCGTGCGGGTTCTCGACCTGTCACACAATGAGCTGACTGCTGTCACACGCCTGCCTCGTAACCTCACGAACCTCTACGCGCAACACAATCTGTTGACCGTGCTGCCTCTGACGGAGCTTTTGTCACTTAAACCACAGCTCAGAGTCGTTGATGTGCGAGCCAACAGATTGCAGCACTTTCACCATGAACTGATGCCTCTTGTAGAGAATGGGACGCACGTCTTGTATTCAGGTAACGTACCAATTACTTGTGACGTAGCGAGGGTGTTTTTGTTATTCGGATGAATTAATGGACCCGTTTCTATCCACAGAGCTTTAGAATGTGAAACAGATGATTTGTGGCGAAGAACATTTACTTAACTGCAAGATGACCCTTGTGTAGGAAACCCATTGAGCTGCGACTGTGAGGTTCGGCCACTGCGGCAGTGGTTGGCGTCCCAGGTGGCACCAGATCCTGAATGGGGAGCACTGCAGTGTTCTGCACCCCAGTTCCTGGAGGGAAAACCCCTCGTCATGGTTCCAGAGGACAGGATGACTTGCGACGCTGGGCGAGATGGTCCTCGCTTCGAGATCAATCCTGATGTCAAATTTCGTGACGTCCAAAGGTGAGTGAGGGCGTCAGTAAGCCTGGAAAGACTTTGATCTCTTTTTTGCAATTTTTTTTTGCGTAATTCCCGAAATTCTGGCGTCACTTACACTTCGTAGCGTCATATAAGAACTACGCTGCCCTCAAATTTCATCTCCTTCCTGACACATCGTCCACGAATTTCGCTCGATGCTCAGAATAAAATAAAGAGTAATTGAATTCTGCTTCTGCCGTCTACAGGACGGGTGATGGAGTGTCCATCACGTGGTTTGTGTCAACACGCAGTGATGTTGCTGACTTCCGCCTGGTGGCGCGCGAAGCAGAGCGCGTGGTTCTGGAGCTCGATCTGCCTTACAGTGCACGCAGTCACGTGGTGCAGGGACTTCCCTCAAGCCTGCACATTGAGTTGTGTCTTCTGGCACGAGATAGCGCTGGCAACGTGCGACACTGGCGCGCCAGTCAGTGCATTGATCTCCCGCCTAGTGGCAGCTACTCGCACGCCAGTGCGCATTTCACTTCCGTCATTTGTTACGTGATTATTTTTGTCTCATTGCATCCCATCATCAGGCAGTAATCATCAAATTGTTGTGCTGTGTACATGATGTATATATCAAAACTTGGTTTTGTACATAAAGAAATTTTATAATTGGTTATTAAAAATCTTATTTAATTTTAAGCCAATTTGGCCATTTATAAATATGTATCGCCACAAATCAAGATACGTGACATGCTGCTTACCTATGCGATGATGCTTCAGAGTTCAATTTTGATCGAATTCTGGCAACAATGGTATGCACGCCACTGGTCCTTATATAATCTGACGATCGTTGTACCGGTGTTTGTACGCCACTGTTTTATTAGGTCATGCTGTTAAGTGTTTCATGCCCGTATGCACGCCACTGGTTCTTATATAATCTGACGATCGTTGTACCGGTGTTTGTACGCCACTGTTTTATTAGGTCATGCTGTTAAGTGTTCTATGCCCGTATGCACGCCACTGGGCCTTATATAATCTGACGATCGTTGTACCGGTGTTTGTACGCCACTGTTTTATTAGGTCATGCTGTTCAGTGTTCACTGTTACGTCAGAACATTTTTACGGAATTGTCGCGGGAGAGTGTGCACGCCACTGATCTGTCAAGGTACAGTGTGTTTCGATTAAAACACAACTCTTGACAGTCACAGAACGACGAAACCAGTGGCAATATTGAATTCTTGCAGTCTTATATCACTTTTGCAGTCGATGTACTGTCAGAAATATGTTAATGTCAGCTGTTTTATCGCTCGATCAGTATTAATCACAGGCACTTTCTTTGCCCCGAAATTTTGTTACCAGTTGGTACATTGTTGTCTTATTCGGTACTTGTCAGTAAATGTTTCACGAGCAGTAAGAAGCGAGTTCGATTGTGAACTTACATTATTGCCGTGAATACGCCATGTTCACACCTGCACAGATTTTGCGCAACTGAATTAAACAGCGGCCTAGTAACAAGAGTGACCTTTATTAGTGTCACGGGAAAGGTTAAGAGAGAGTCTATTACACGGGAGTGTATTGTGTTTTAAATTACATGCCCTGTATATATTTCAGCGCTACGTTAGTGCGTGGTTGACGTTTTTCCAGATGAGTATGGATGTTGGACTCCTAATGATCACCGCTCCAGCAGGCTAATGTAAGGTGATTATTAACGAAACAATCAGCATGTCACGAGCCTGGGAACTGCCCTCTTACGGGACTACACGAAAATGCACACGCGTAATTAGATCCATTATGGCCAACATGTGCTTCCTTGTGAACACAGTTAGTGTAACACGTCACAGTTGGCGAGTCAAACCGTCTCGTGGGTGACAGAATGTTTTTGTTTTATTACCAACATCAAAGACGGTAATTCTACGCGATCCGAAATCACCCCAACGTCATCTAACACTTTCGAAAACTATTTTGTTAATTTTAATATAATCTGACTTGAATCCTGTTTTACGCTATTGAGTTTAGCCATCGTCCAGTAACAATGAAATACCTGTCGTAGAAATTGTGTAACCAAGGTCGCATTTAGCTCTGTAACTAAGGACTGAACAATATGAATGTTTGGCGAGACATTTGTGACATACTTTTTCCTTTCATGAGGTGGAAAACTGGGCTTATGAGATTACAATGCTGTGTATTTATTTTAACATTTCAAGTTTTGAACCAGTTGATCGATTTTCACGAAATAAGATATGAAGTTTGCAACACTGGAAACTACTATAATTTCTGTTTGTAATTTTACTTCATTACGTAGCTTTTACAACATGGCGGACGAACTTATTACTCCAACACTAATTAGGTTTAGGGTAACAGATATTCAAAAAATATGAAGGTAGTATTGCGAACGGAATTCTTCTTTGACATTGCTATCGAGGCCTAGTGGAATATATGAAGACAGATGCGTCCCACAAAGTACATAAATGATGACGGTGAGAAATTTTTGCGTTTGTATCAAATTTAACGTAGACAGAATTAACCTCTTCTAAAAAGAAAATTGCATATTTATAGCCGCAAGCAGGCATTTATACTAAACCATACGTTTCATTGTTGGATTATAAACTTTAAATTACCGGAATGTAGTTTGAATTTTTGTCCGGGATTCTTTTCATATCACATTGTTGCCGAAGCTAGTCTGAGTAATATGTACAAAAATTCAGTTCTTACCTCAAAGAAAATAAAACACCGCTAAAGTTGGACTTTGCTAAGAGACACACTCGCGGTTAAATAACTCTCGCTCACCGTGTGGTTGCAAACATGTCAGTTGCCTGCTAACAGAGCGTTATATTTAACCGAGCAATCCAGTACGTCTGGGGAAGTTGAGGACAAAACAGGTTTAAGTGACAATGACCGACATTCTGTGAAATGTTGCATAATGCAACGCGAGAGAAAACACAACGTGGGTTCGATTTATGCTATTTAATGATGCTGTATCGAGTACTGAGGTTATTAGTGCTAATAAATAGTGTGGTGGGATTTTTGGTGTTTCCGATAACCCTGTTCTTATCTTGGATAAATAAAAATCATTGTTGGCTGTGTGTGTGTGTTTCTGTAATAAATTACGATAGTTTATACCGTTTCTGTGAACTTTGTATGGAGGTTATATCGCCATGCGTTACTCGTACATGCGAATTCTGTCAATAAATCACTTCTTTTAGCGAGTTCGTGTAAGATGGCCGACAAGCCAACGTTTGAGATGGGAATAATAATGGAGCTATTCAGTGCGGAATCATGATTATCCGTGACTCTTGTGTGGGTCATATTTCACTAACGGAGAAAGGAGATCAATGGAAACTATTCATCTTGAATTAAAGAATTATTACAGGCAATAAAACTGCACATTCAGAAATTAAATAAGGAGTTTTGTGCAGAACGCATAATTTATATTTTCGTATTGCAAAGACTCGCAGTTTTACCAACCTCAAGCTGTTGACGCCATATTTACGTAACGAACATTTATAATTCGACAATGAAATGAAATTTAACTCGTGAATTAACAGGCTCGTAGATTTTTCATGGGGTTATATGAAATTTGATATTCAGAAAACTAATCTCACGCGTAAAACTTAACTGTGTCCGTTTCAACTGCCATGTTAGCGACTCTTAAATTTTTCATACTGACTGCGTAAAAAAATGTATGTGTATCGTTTGATAGTAAATTTTATTTTGATTGCCGTGTTGATTACATTCTCATGCAATAGAACCGTTCGGGTATATTCGTTCTTCTACGTGCAAATTCGTCTCTTTACATTGTCTTATTATTTTATACGATACTTTAATTACGTAAACTCTTTGTGTCCTGGAATAATTTTGTGGCTGCTAAACGTATAATAGGCTAAAAATCACAGAATATTGATTTCTGATTTATTCTGTATGTAACTTTCGTACCGAATCAGGCGGAGGTCAAATTGCCTCGCTAATTACATCTGTAATTTGCATTCAAAAATGTCTGTTGTTCATGAGGTCTTCGCTTCGAGTTCACATAGTGACTGGGGTCGTAAGGTCGTGTGGATTTGTAGGTAGGCATTGATGTTTCGGAGTAAGATACCGCCTCCATCTTCAGGGACACATATTCTCCTGGATGTCTGTCGGTAAATAGGGTGTTGTGAGCACCAACCAGGGCATGGTGTTAACAGAGTTGTGCCGCTGTTGCATCGAGCACGATCGGTGTTTACCTGCGTCGCTTTGGAGGGGAGATGCAGTCAGGCAGGTAGGGACTGGCTGGTGTCTTGTCGACAGTCAGTCGCTTGTTGTGAGTGCGTGTACACGTAGCTATGGGACCGGGTGTTGTGCTCGCCATTACGCTCTGGATATCGGCGGTTAGCACCCACGGCAAGGGTGAGTATCAGCCAGAAATCTGTCACAATGCACGAAACGTCGACTGTGACTTGGTATTTTTACAATTCGAAATGGCGTGTGTGTGTGTGTGTGGGCCTGCGCGTAACTTGTGCGTGAATTTGCTGTAGGAACAGTCGATTCCCGTTGTTTCATTTTGGTTAAAACTGGTTATTTGCTCTGTCTTCTTCAGTCTTAATTATTATTACTATTAACCATTTTATAAGGTATGTACTTCCATGTACCCGAGACAGACCTTGTCCCTAAGGTATTTCCGAAATACATTTTGTTTTTTAATATGTGTTACATGTATTATATAGTTTTATTGTGAGGGATGACTAAATATTTTACGACATCCTCTTTCGAATGATGTACGAAGATCCTAAAATTGCAGTTTTCTGAAGTTCCCTGATGTCGTGTTCGCCCGGAATGTTGGCCAAATGTTTTCTGAGTGACTTGGAGACAGTTCCAGTTGCTAATATAATTATTGGGATTACTTTCACTTTCAACATCCGCTGTATTTCAATGAGAAGATCCTTGCATTTCAATATCTTCTCAGCTTCTTCTTAATAATATTCCTGTCAGTTGGTATTACTGTATAAATTAAGAGACGAGTTCCGTTTTTCTTTCGGATTATAATAACTGGTTTATTATTTGTGATGGTTCTATCTGTTTTGACTTTTGGTTCCACAAAATAGTTATTTGGCTATCTTGAATTCTCTCCACTGCCTTCGGGATGTGTTCATAACAATGTTTCTTTTCTAGAGTTTTCCCCAGCTTTCCTGCATAAGTTAAGATGTAACTGAGTACACACACGATCATGTTGTCGTATATATTCCTCATTAGCCAGCACTGGGAATCCAGACACAACGTGATCTGTCGTTTCATCAAATTGCTGACATAACCTGCATTTGCTGTCTGTATCTGTTTTTAATTTTTTTTAGTGTTTGGCCGTTGCCAGGCCTGTAAATTTATTCGCGAGGAAATTAAGAGACAGATAAAATAAATAATAGTTATGTTCTGTTATTAATATTTATATCCAGAATTTTGTGGCCTTTGGTTAAATATTAAACCCTGAGACGGCGTCAGACATTATTCTGTAAATATTACATAATTCACCCTTTTGTGTGATTATCCTAGTGAAGTCAAAGCTCTCGTAAGTCTAATTAACAATTAAGACACTACCGCAAAAGAAAACAACATTCTTTAATTACAAAAATGTCAGTTAATGCTATTAAGGAAATGATTCAGTTTTATCCTACAATTATATGCGGGCAAAAGGTAGATTATTGAAGAATACATTATTTATAGTTTCCAATAAGCTTTATAAGTTTAAAAGTACAACACCTAGATCCTGCGCGAATGTATATTCTTGCTGTAGGAACCTGAGTGACCTTATTCATTTCAATTTGAGGTCATGGATAGATCATCGTCACCTCTAGATCACGACAAAATCAGTTCCAAGGTTTTGAGGTAAATTGTCCTTTAAAATGTCCAAGAACACTTTTTCTTACGCCAATGTCGATCTAACTATTAATCTATGTAACCATCAAGCCACTATTTGTATCTGATTTTGGATCGTCATCGTTCTATCGTCGTTATTGAGTTACGTTCGAATACCTTGAGCAGAAGTTCGTACGTAAAAAGATGTGCTGACTAAACGTCTTTATCGTTGCACACCCACGGCGATAACTTTACCATGAGCTGACTGGTCGTGTCGTATTGAAATTCGAAGGCTTCGTAGAATCGTGACCAACACATTTCCGGTTCAACAATGACTTTCTCTGCTAACAGGCGCTGAAATGAGCTCGACGTTACTATATCTCATTTTCTAAATCCACAAGAGAAACCAGACTTGATAAAATTGTTGTAGTCACGTATATAAGAATTTGTGAAACCATTAAACATTTTAGTAGGCCTGCATTTTAAAGTAATTTTGACGAGCAAACAGAGAAACGAAACTTATTTTACTAATGCTTCGACAGACATTTCCCTGTTTGTCCTAATCTTTGCATTGTCAGGAGTTGGTATGACTTTTGATGGAGGAATATTTAAAGTTACATTCAATTTTCACACTACTGATCGCCCTAAAACTTAATTTCCATTTCTACCGCTCCAAGGAATTGTTACCTGTGTTGTAACTAAAAAGTCTCTGTTACACTGCGAAGTTTTCACTGTGCGCCACATGTAGTAGGTTTGTAGTTCGTATATATATCGTCGGCTTCAAGTTCCGGCTAGTTTTACCACCGCCTATTGGATCGCAGAACCATTCAAATTCTAAGATCTTAACCTGGGTCGATCTAAATTCATCAGACATGCAATTGAAAGGGAACCTTGCAACCTGACGTCGAACCCACGACCTGCCTACCGGAACGACACGTATAAACAAAGATATGTGGTGATACATCTCCTGTCCCGTTACGTTTTCCATGTGTTAAGCGTCCTTTGGGCTCCTGAAGGTCTCTTCCCATGGTTGCTGTTTCTTGGAAAGGTTTTAACCCCCATTTAAAGACAATTGGTCTCAGAATTCTAACCTGGGAAGTGACGCCATGTTTTGTTAGAACTAGTAAGTAAGTAGTAAGTTTCTGTTCTTCACGTAGTACACTTGGAAGACAGATAAGGAGATGGATGGATGACATTAATATGGGTCCTGGGGAAACAACGAGTGAGAATGGATGGTGGATGGATACAAAATTGCTTATGATTGTATCTAAAAGTGTCCTTGATATTGTTTTATGAACTATCGGATTCTAATACGGCAGAGTCGGTTTAATTCGTTTTTTTTGCTAATCATTCGCGAAAACCAAATAGCTTCACTTCCTGTGTCATGGCCTCCTCTATGTCAGGAAGCAGCCACTTCCGGTGCGATGTCCGATAGCGATGCGCAATTGTTCATGTGCTGCTGACCATTGACCTTTCTTCCAAGAAACCTTCAACAGCCAGTGACAGAGAACACTTTTAAGCTAATGTAGTTATTTTCTGTGGTCGACCATTTAAAGCACAATGGTAACTATATGAACTGCGTGGTTTAACAATGTGTTCTGCCCGCAGAAGTTATTTATGGATTTCGTACGAATCTCGCTGTGAACTGCCATTATTCCTTTGGACAGTTCATCGTTTTCGTGTAGAAACTTCAGTAATCCATTGTTGTCGGTGTAACTGTTTTTTGTTGAAAACAAATTCGTGTCTAGTGGTACGTGGAAACTTTGTTCGGTGAGAGGCGATTTCTACATAATTACGTCCTGGGTTCACATCTCGCTGATGATTAAATGCGATTGTGTGATGTGAATGAGGGCGAGTTTAAAAGAACTGAGACTGTTTTGGGGGCTCATATAAAACTTGTGATGTGAATGAGGGCGAGTTTAAAAAGAACTGAGACTGTTTTTGGGGCTCCTATAAAACCGCGTGGGAGCACGAAGCTGTCCAGCGATCTATGTGGCTGTGAGTTTATACAGTCGGTCTGTACAAACCCACGGTGTCCTGTGATTGCATCGAGACTGCAGTGATGAGTCTTTTAGTTACGTGCGTCGGAGCGAGTCAATGTATCGGCTGAATACCACATCGACTGTCCAGCAAAGCCCCTGTTGCGAAATCCTGCTCACCCTGTATTTATTAATATTATGATGGCCAGTGGTATGCGTGGTTGCGGTAAGTTACAAGGTCCTAATGCCCACACGGGGTATTTCACCAGGGCCGCCAACCTCTGAGAAAACAATGACCCTTTCCTCCTGCAACCCACATCGAAGTGTCTGGACTCCGTTTATACGCTAAATGAGGCAGTGGGAGTCTGTGAACCGGATTCAAACCAACGACGCCAAACCTGCTTCGGGTTACTTGATATTTGATGAAATTTGATAGTGGGGAGCTTTACTAAAATTTGTTTACGAGTTAAGACTTCTAAGAGTTCTAAAAGTATCGGACAGTTCTGCGCTAATCTTGAGCGCAACTCGGCAAATATTTACAGGACCGAAAAATCTTCCAGCGAAAGTTGTAACGAAAGATAAAACAAGTTTTATTGTTTAATACACTTACGTAAATGTTATTACGGTATGCATTTGTTAACTTGTTTTGATGTGAAGAAGAAATACAAACACTTTTAATTATCCCGATATAAGATTTACATCTGTAATAGACCTTAAATAAACATTATACCAACGAAGTGTTTACTAAAATAAAGAAAAACTTGTCTGCAAGATATGCATACTCCACGCAGGAGTACACATTTCTTTCTTCTCTTGTTAAATACGTAGTTTCATTCTAATGATAGTCTGATAGAAGTGATAAACTACAATTTTCTGAGCTAGCTACAAGCGATGATGATGATTGTGGTGATGATACGGAGGGCAGACAATGAGCTTCCGTTTTTGATGAAGATGGCGATCTGTGTTCCAGCTCTTGCTAGGGAAATTTAATGCGAAAGTGAAACTGAGAACAGGCCAGTGCTCCCCTCTACACACCGAGAAACAGAAACTCATTCTTATGCAGTAGCTATTAGAAGATGATGACTAGCGGAGATGATACATCAAT